AAGTCTCGTACGAAACGCTCGTTTTGGAGACTTGACGTGTGACTTTTGGAGGAAGTCTCGTACGAAGAGTGCCCTACAAGAGTGTCCCACAAGAGTGCAAACACAAGAGTGTCCCACAAGAGTGTCATTTGGACATGTGTAGCTTTTGGAACGTGTTTGCATTCGGGTTCGTGGGCTCCATCTTGTTTCCGCCTTCAACACGATAGTGTTTCCAAGCCTGATTTGGCTCAACATCTGATCACTTCGCGGATGCAGATTGGGCGATTTGCCCAGTTGACTCGCCTAGTCCATGGCTGAGGGCCGTTGCGAACTCAGCGCGGAGCTGCAAGTCCTCCAGGAACTTGCAGCTCCGGATGGCACCGTAGAGGTGGAACGCATGAAGCAGGTCTTGGTGAAAATTGGAATGCAACCGGCAGACGTGGATGCCATCATGAAGTCGCTCTCGGACAAAAATCGAATTCCCTTGTCCGACTTTCTGCGCTGGGTGTCGCCGACTCCGACAGCTCAGACAGCTCACGACACCAATTTGATTCTTTGTACGGATAGCTACAAGTTCAGCCATTGGAAACAATATCCACCAGGGACCGAGTACGTCTACAGTTATTTTGAGAGTCGAGGCTGTGAAAGGAAAGAGTGGAATGAGGTGGTGTTTTTTGGTCTGCAATATTTTCTCAAGCGATACCTCCTAGGCAAGGTTATCACACAAGAGAAGATCGATGAAGCAGTGACGATGTGTTCCGAACATTTCGTCGGAGACGGCCTTTTCTACAAAGAAGGTTTTCAATACATCTTGGAGAAACACGGAGGTCGGCTACCAATATCCATCAAGGCCCTTCCGGAAGGCTCTGTTGTGCCTACCAAGACTGCCCTGTTCACCATGGTAAACACCGATCCCAAGTGCTTTTGGTTGACGAACTTCTTGGAGACGTTGTTGGTGCAGGTCTGGTATCCCATGACTGTTTGCACCAACAGCCGCTACCAGAAGAAATCCATTCATGAAGCTTTGGTAGATACTGGGAACGAAGATTGGCTCATTCCAGGCTGGGCGAGATTGTCTCAATTTTTTTTGTTCTTCTTGAGGACGCGACGAACGGAGCAAAGGGCATCGCTACTAGGAGCAAAGGACGCTACATGACGCTACTAAGGGTTCCTGGCACCGCTACTAGGAGCAAGGACGCTACTAGTAGCGTTTTGACCACCAAATTTTTCCACCTGCGCAGCTCGAACCAGGGCATCTTGGGAAGAAGACCAAGTGGCAATGCAAATCACTAGCAACAATTGGATACTGGCATCACCCGAGCGGTGTGTTTTACTGGCATGTAGTGGTTTCAATGAAAGTAGAACTGCATCAGAGCCCACAAAGGCTCTCACAGGTTTGTGCCGCGAAGGCATGCGAAGCCAACTCACGTAGGGCCCAGGAGGGAAGTGTATTGCGAAGGCTTGCGAAAGATACGAAGGCATGCTTCCAGTGCATAGGCCCCGTAAATTGCCAAACAAAAAACATTGCTCACGAAAGAAGTTTTGCTCTAACATAAACCTCAGCGGCTTAGCGAGAAAAGGCACCGTGCTCCGAGTCCGAGCCCAATTGCCACAGGTTCTCAGAAGACTTCATGGAGCGCAATGCCCTATTTCTAGATAACCTTCATCCCAAAATTGACACCTTGATGGTGGGTTTATGGTTTTCTTACGGCATTTTATGTTGTGCTTATCACTGTTTTTGAAGACCATGACCATGTTCACTTTGCTTAAGCAACAATTTGTCCACTACGGTCTTCTGAGCTCATTTAGGTTGGTTCAAAAACAGTAACGAGAGTGCGCTACTCATTGAGTCAACTTCTGTACACCCCAACGGTGGAGGCCATCGCTAGTTTGGAGGCCATTGCTAGAAACAAGCAAAAGGAAGACAGGTCATTTGCTATTAGTGCATCGCTATCAACTAGAAACTACTATACTTTGCTCTTTGGAAGTCTACTGAGTCTACGGTCGAAAGTAGGTTGTAAGAATGTTGCGATCCATCAACACACGGCTGGGATTTTCTCACAGCAGACTTCTGGCAGAGATTGTGCGGTTTCTAGGAAAGTTGTGCATCGAGAGGTGAGCCTTTGTTTCTGATTGGTTTCTGAGGAAGTGCGCGGGGTCTTCAGTCAGCGCTCTGCGAATCAATTGAACCCAATGATCGCAAATTGTGCTGTGGGAAGTTGAATAGTAGAGAAGATGTGATGTTGAAACATGTTGAATGTTTTTGAACTGTATTGCAAGGGTGATAGCGACGAAGATGATGAAGAGGTAAAGGTCGAAGGTAGTGATGAAATTGTATCGGTGAAGGTGGTAGTGATGAAAGTGAGTGGTGGTTGTTGTCAGAAACTCAAGCCAAGGGGAAGAAGGCACAATCATTCCAAGAATCCAAGAAACAGTGCTGATGAGAACCCTCCTATTGTAGCTGCCGCTGGGGCAGTTTTGGAGGGATTTGCGAACACTTCTCACAATTATGTTTATCAGTTTTTGACAAAGCTTCAACATGAGTTGGCACTCTCACCAGAATCAAGGCCGCAGCGTGCAATTCAGAGCTTTGCGATGTTAAGTTTCCCTAAAAATCTAGAAACCAAATCATGAGCGCGAGCTCTCCTGCGTCCTGTCGGTAGTAGCGGCCACTTGTAGCTACTAGCTGCCTTTCTCTAGCTACCTAGCTACTCTCGCGGCCTACCACCCACCCCCCGGAAATAAATAAACGTAGTTTATACAATGACGAATTATATAAACATATAATTAAGCAAATTAGATAAAATATAATATATAAAAAAAGATATGTGTTTCTAACATTTCTCAGGTGGCTCGGTCTTCAAACTGCACGACTTCGGTTTCCGCGGCGTCTCCTCGGTGGAGTCCGCCGCCTTGGGTGGTGCAGCGCACTTGGTGAACTTCCTGGGAACGGACACCGTGGCGGCCCTGCTGTGCTGCAAGAGGTGCAAAGAGACGAAGAAGAGAAGAAGGAGAAGAAGGAAGAAGAAATGAGAAGAAGAGATAAAGTAGTAAAGTTTTGAAGTAAAGAAGGAACGAAGTGGTTAAGTAAACGAACTACAGACAACTAATTATTTTTTACTACATTACTTTTACTACACACTTGAAACCTTAGTAAGGTTTAGGTATACAGCTTGTCTAGTTACTGTGAAGAACCTCTCAACTACTTCCATCCTTCACATGTTTCAGTTTCCACCTTGGAACTCTGCTGGTGTTCCTCTCTCCTTCTCATGCCTTGGCATTTCATGCTGTTTTGGGTATCACTGCCGCTCGGTGGGCTACTGTTGTTCCCTCGCCCACGAATCCCACGTCGATCGTCCGAGTGTCACCAGATCGCTGTTCGCTGGCGGTGTGGCCCCAGGACGACTCCTCGCTAGTAACAGGTGCCTTACTAGTAGTAACAGGTGCCTTACTAGTAGTAACAGGCGCCTTACTAGTAGTAACAGGCGCCTTACTAGTAGTAACAGGTGCCTTACTAGTAGTAACAGGGGCCTTACTAGTAGTAACAGGCGCCTTACTAGTAGTAACAGGCGCCTTACTAG